GTGACAGAATGGGCGTTATTTTGGGACATTGTTTGACAGATAAATCTGAGAAGGTGGGAAAGGAAACAAGCCATTCACAAACCATTCATGCACAAAATGATCGCATTTATTGAACAAATAATCTCTCCACGCTTTGTCAAGTCTAAAACATGATGACTCTTCTCCTTCCTGCCAAAATTGGCAATATGCCCTGGGTAGGATATTGTGTATGTATAATTAGCAGTGAAAACTAAAAACAGAGCAGGGTCACTTCACAGTTGCAATAGTTAATGACAGCTTTGCAAATTCTCTAGAGTTTATCACTGTTTTAAATAAAGTTTTCTATGCTGAAAATCTTTTACAGCAAACCTTTTCTGATAGACATTTATGCTTGTGTATAGGTAGTTGAATCAGTAATTGACTTCATTCATGCCTGCTCTATATCTAGGTGCTCAATCTAATCTCTGTCCTACAGATAAGGTTATTTGCTGGGGGAAAAGCATAGCTTGTCTTGTGACACTGAGCCTTCACCTTTTTCTCTCATTTCTTGAATTCTTCCACTTAAGGCTCCCTGTATATTTTAAACTGCAGATGGGTGAGTTGTAACACTCATTTTTCTAATTCATTCTTGTCAGATTTTACAAGTAAAGGCCATGCAACAATGTCTAATAAGAACAAGTCTAAATACAAAACATAATAACCTATCTTAGCTGGGCACGGATGCAGTCATCTATTGGATGACCAGCTTGGAGCTATCAGTTCCCTTGTACCAAATTTAACTCTGCAAAAACATACATTGAATGTTAACAATGAAATTGCATGCAGCCTCAGGTGTTTATTGCTTGTTCAAAGACCATCTCAGGTACACGAGAGAAAAATGGGGTATGTCTGGATGCTCAGGCTTGAGTGATTTGGCAGAAATCTTTGTAAAATTGTCATGTTCTCTCTTAGCTACTCCCGGAGTTAAACAATCTCACTGTTCTCAGTTGCTTTCAGCAGAGAGATTTTCAATATCCTTAGTCACTCTTGCTGGCTACTTCTTCTGTGCTTTCTTTGCATGGGCTGGCGGACAGCATGCTGATACAGGACTTTGTCGATGGGATTTCAGTTCCTGACTACCACCAGCTTGCTTGGCAGCCTTCCTGTGCCTCCCCCAGAAATCATGGATAACAGCACCAGCCTCCTTTGTGGAGCACTTTTGACATCTGTGGATTAAAATGCTCTATTAGGAGATACTATTCCAGGGGAAGGATTACTACTGAATTATATAAGGGCAATACAACATTTTTAATGTTGCTGTCCATCCTATTCCTCCTACCTCCCAATGTTTGCAAATGTGGCACCGAGTACTTTTCTGTGGGTGTCTGAGGAGTGAAGGTGATTCCTTAGCTGTTCAATATTTAGCATTGATCAACACCCTAACCTATTCTACTCTGATACTGCCAGTCTCACAGCAGCTGCTCTCAATCCTGCCCTGCATTAACAAACTTCGGTAATTGTATGTTATCTGTGTGTTTTGCCACTTCAGAAGGGCCAGCATCTCTTATTGATGAGCGGCCCGTATCAGACAGCGTTACAGCTTATGGGGGAAATGTCGTGATTCATCTCTGAACCTTTATGTTGGGTGGAAGTGCTCAGTTTCTTCCTATCTGCTATTTTTTTCTCTCAGCCACATTTTGATCTCAGTTGGAACCTGTCCTTTCTCACCAGGATTACCTTAGGATGCTGGGGTTGGATTTTGGGTTCGGGGTTGGTTTTTTTTCGTATACTCTTCTGAGTGAGTATTGCTGGCAGCTTGCAAAAAATGAAACTAGTTCCCTCGGTTGTTTCTTTTCTATCCTCTGTTTTATTGAGATGCCATCTGGTGACACCAAGGCCTTATAGCACTTCGAAGTTCAGAGGTTTCTTTCTGGGCTCTTGATCTGCCTGTGATCTACCCTGAGGCACATACCGCCTGCAAAGCAGTTGAGGAGATCCCTGCCTTCGCTGAGAGTGTCAGAGCTATTGCTGTGCTTCCTCCGCGTTGCATTTTCAACCTTTTTCCCTGTTGTGCTGTCAGGGTTTGGGGGACGGGGGGAGGGAGGTTGTTTGGTTTGAGGTGTCCCTTCGGTTGGGGTTGGTAGGTTTTTTGTTTTGGGGTTGTTTGTTTTAAAAAAAAAAAATCAGTCAATATAGTCAGCAACCCCAGACCAGCACATCTGTCTGATGGTACAGAGATCCAGTGTCTCATCGTCACTGCTCTAGTTGATAGCACGTTTACGTGACCATTGTTTTTGTTACTCCACGTTTTACTGAGAATTGAGTTCCTCCACTTTTTTAATCACAGCATTAATATGGCCTACTACCCAGACAGATCAGATGTTTTAGGGACTGGATACGCCAGTGCAGGTTCTCCATGTGCTTTGGTTAAAAGGATTGTGCCTACCTGCAGAAGTCATATTCACTCTGTAACCTTATCTCCCTCAATGCTTCCCTCACCGCCCCCCCCCCCCCCCCCCCCCCACCCCCCGCAGTGTGTGAATGTAGTTCCAAAAAATAATCACAAATACTGTGTCTCTGTCACCTCCATCTAAAATGTGTATTGTTGTTTTACATGACATTTTTCTCAATTTCTTCCTTAAGATACTTTAACTGAAAACTCCCTTACCCTCCAGGCTGGGGGGAATTTGCTCTGTATAGTCCCAGGAAATGCACGTGTCTGACACTTTAAGGGTAGCCCTCCTATCCATTACACTGTGTTGACAAAATTTTGCTATTTACAGAGGAGGTGCCGTTTTATTTTGTCTGCCGTTTTAGCACTATGTCTTCATATTGACAGGGAAAATATTTCCATGCCTACTGCCTTGAAAACTATCTTACCTTACAGAAGGTAGAGCTGACCTACACAAACAACACAACTACCATGCTTGCATTGCAGACTATCCTGATGCATTCCCAAAGCTGTCCTCCTCCAGTGCCCTGCTGTGCCTATTTATAATACCTAGACTCAGACAAAAGTCAGAAACAATTCCTGACTTAAAGTGCATGCAGCCTTTGGAAACGAGACTCAATTAAGAAACATTGTCACCTAGTGGCCAGAATAAGATGTATTTATTATTGTTGATCTTATCCTTATAAGGAGATATATATAAAATATATGTATGTATCTCAGTGTATCATTGCACCAGTGACTATTTCTGGTTAATACCATATGCTGACGTGTCAGCTCTTCCCAGTTCAAAAGCTCTTTAGTAAACCATGTGCATTTGCTAAGCAAGCCAGAGCAGCAGCAGCTTGGCAATTTTGTAAAGAGAAGTTATTAAAAGGAAATTGCTCCACAGAAAAAGCTGTTTGTTGTAGTGCCGCGCAGAGACTGTCCCATCAACTACTTCCCCTCCCACTCTAGACTACCCAGAGCACCTCACCGGGCGGTAAGTACCCAACCTCTCTGTTTGGAGAACAAGCACTTTGGTCTTTGGCATTTCAGCTCGTGATACTCCCAGATGGCCTGGAGATTCGGAGGCGATTTCCTCCCCTCCCTTCCTAGCCGAGGCAGCCTGGCAGCGAAGTGCTGGGTTCCTGACATATGGGGTTGTTGATTCTTCCTGAAGGCAGGCAGCTGCCCTCTTGCTACAACATTAAACCTATCAGCCGCCTTTTCATCTTGTGAACTCCTTTGAATATCCAGAGATGCTGTGCAATGCCGTCATGTCACGTCACTCTTCAGTGCATATATTCACCTCTTGCTGTGTCAATATACAACACCCGTACTCTGGGATATCTACTCTTGTGCCTGGATAGAGGGCTATGGATCAACTCTTCTCTCCCTCACCTGGTAGTTAATGTTGTACCCTGGCATCAACTGTGGGGAACAAAACCACCAGCTGCTGGGTTCCTAAACCTGTCCTAAACTGCAGGCACTCAAAAGAGGTGGTGTTTTGCTCCACATTGCCAAGGTGAAGTGAGGCCACCTATGTCGGCAGTTTCTGAGCTGGTTTGGGGCGTGGAAACAGGAGCCAACAGGGATCCAGGTGCTGCTTGAACCTGCTGCTCAGCCCCACTCCAGCAGCCGCGCTGGAGCCATCCCCTTGACTGACTGAGCCCCATTTTCAACAGTGAGTCTGACTCTTATGAGTAAACGTTTTGTTAAAAGTCATTCATTTCTACATGTCTACATCATTCCAGAAAGTGGGATGCAAACTACCAAGGTCTTGCACTGATGGGTGGAGCAATAGCCATGCACATTTGGAAACTCTAGGTCTCTCCAACTGAATAAGTGGCTGACTTTCACCAGATTTACAGTCATCTCCCTTGCGTTTTCCTCATGTAACTAGGCATGTACAAGCCAGGCATCTCTGTTCCTAAAGAGTAAGAGAGGACGCAAATTTCTTTAAAAATAAATAAAAAAGACTTTAAAGCTTCTGAAAGGTCTGTTCTAAATGTTCTCTTCATATAGATTACCAGGTGTATTACTGAAAAATATTCCCATCTGGGACAGGCTTTGCTGCAAGGAGATCCTAGGCTGTTGTAAGAGAAGAAGCTTAATCGTATTAGCTGCACTTCTTGAGAGCGGACTGGTAAAGTGGATCTCTGGCTATGTGCATGAACTTTTGGTATCCATTATTGTATACGACGTACCTAAGCAGCTGCAGCTTTGGGTGGATTGTTTCTAGTCTCTGCTCCACTCTACCGATCTTTCCTCCTTTCTTTTTTTCCCAGGTATTATGTTTCATGAGTTTCATCTGTCCACTTAGGAAAAATACTTCTCTAGGCCCTTAAATGGTGGATCTTCGACAGCTGCAGCAGCAGCTCTTCGTGTTTGTTCTGTTTTATTGCCAGAGTTATTCACTTGTTCCTGCTTCTGAAATGTATCCAGCTACTTAAAAAGGCTTCATGCATAGGTTTTCCAATGAATAATCTGGTTTAATTTGTTTCTAATGGAACAAAAGGGTAATTTTAGAAGAGACGTTGCACATTTACACACTGAACTGCTTCTTGCTTTATTTGCTTTTTGATTTCATGGATTTAATTTTTTTTTCCAGGTTGGCTGTCCTGGTTTGGAAACAGCATTGTGATTTTTGTCCTGTATAAACAAAGACATCTTCTGCAGCCCACTGACTACCTCACATTTAACTTGGCAGTATCAGATGCTAGTATCTCTGTGTTTGGTTATTCACGGGGGATCATTGAAATCTTCAATGTCTTCAGAGATGATGGATTTATTATCACATCAATATGGACTTGCCAGGTAGGACCAGATTACACTTAATCAGACAAAAAAGGTGCAGCTATTTCTGTGTATATGCTGTATATAAATAACTAGACAGGCCCAAAAGAGTGAAAAGAAATACTGACTGACTTTCCAAAAGGACAGTGTTCTCTTTTGTTACACCCATAAATCTATTCATTTGATCAGTGTTTGACCAATTTTCAGTGATTTTTTTCTATCCACAGTAGTTTCTACTAGTTTGGATTTTTTACTTCATGTCATAGCTCCCACTCATCTTGGAAAGCTAAGGTGTAGGCTGTGCTTGTCTTCAGCTCCCCTGAAGTCAACCTGGTTGTTGGCCCTTTACCATTTGGCCTAAAGCGATGTAGACTCCTCCTTGACAAGGCGTGTAGAGCAAAGCCTCCACACAGCACTTGGGTATACCCATATATTTTAGCATACAACTTCTTGGACTAAATCAGTCGTAACTCTTCAACCTTAGCCCGAAATTCTTGGTTGGTTTGTTGCCTGTGGTAGGATGAGTGACTTAACTTTATGGCATGGTCATCCCTGAACTTGGAGGCAGCTTTTTGTTGGAGAACTTGGAAAATGTTATTATTGTCAGTCCTGAAACACACCTGTGTAGACAGAATATAAGTACATCCCATGGATAGATAGGCACAAGCCTGGCTCCCTGGTGCTTTCGGTAACATCTGTGAGAAAGGTTATGCTTGGTGTGTCTGTTTCATGAGGGAATCAAAAATCTGAAAATGACAGGATAGCCTACGGCAAGGTGTAAGAAAGATCATGATGAAGGAAAAGGGAGAGAGAAATAATCCGCTTTTCTTGGGGGTTTTTTTTGGTTGTTGGGGGGGGGTTATTTTTTTTTTAAAAGAGGAAGTTGAACTATTGTGCAACATATTATGCAACATGAACTTTTACAGCTCATGTCCCCTCCCTTTCAATACAAAGGTTCAGTTTACCCAGAGAGGAAGACTTCCTACAGAAGACTGATTAACCTAGGAACTGTAGCTTGATCTAAAAAATTATTATTTTCTTGTTTAAAATGTATTTGGAAGAAAAGGATTTATCAAAATGAAGCTAATTATTTCCTCAGCAAAATCCCCCTATTTCTCTAATGAGAACACCTACAGTTGCAATCTAAGGTCTGTTGAGGAGAAACTTCGAGGACACCTCTTTAATTTTTTTTAATGATGGAAACCTTTGAAGTCATCAAATAAACAAAGACATACCTGCAAACTGTAAAATTCACACCCACACTCAAAATTAAACAGATTCCCATTTTTTGCTGTTTCAAGGAAGGTTGGAGCTATGATTAAGAAAGGAAAGGTAAAACCTGGATCTCTGGGTTCAGTTCTAGCTTTGCTGCAGACTTCCTGTGTAAGACAGGGTAAGCCATTCAGTGTGAAATCCTGAACCAAGATCTGCGGCATAACTTAACATTTACAACCCAGCAGGTTGAAAGAGGTAATATTAAATGACCCTTCAGCGTCCCCAGTCCAAGCTCTTCCAGAGCCCCATCTATACTCTGGCTCCTTTTAAACAGCACACACAGGAATCGACACGGCATGGCACACTGTGTCCATACCTCTTGATTTGCATGGGAGTCTTCTGTCAGCAGCCTTGCAGCTTTCTTCCACGATGCCTCTGCCTGGGAGTCCCTCTTTGGCTGACTTTGAGCTATTTAGAGTCTCGTTACGATGATCTGGCTTTTTTTTTTCAGATGTAAAAAGACTGGGATGGAGGTGTGCTTGAACTTAATGTGATGGAGGTGTGCTTAATCTTGCTGTGCTTGAAATACCTTTACAAGGAGAGAAGTGGTCCGTAACGTTTTTGGGGTACCCAGATAGTTTGTTGCTCAGGGTGTGTTAAAGTAATCTTATTTGGATCTCCTGGTTTTAAACAGCATTCATTTGTAAAATATGGATATCAAGCAAAGTTTTAAGGTATTGGGATCCAAAGATTTTGTTCAGGACATTAATAATGCATTGGCTTTTCTAAACACTCTGATTTGCAAAATATTAAAGTTTCTGCTTTGGTAATCCTCTGTAGGCTCTAAAAATTAACATTTATAATTTTAAATAGGAACTGATACTGTATCAATGCTAACTAAAAATTCATGGTAACCTGAAAAAGTCAATTTGTACTCTGAATGAATAGTTTGAATTGGTTGTGACTTGTTGAGTGGTTGACCTGGTTCTGGCTTGTTGAAAGAAAATCATGTAGGATTCCTGTTTCCATCAAGATTTTGTTCTGGGTTGGGGGGGTCTCAAAAACATGTTTAAACCCTGACATCCATCTTCTTGATTATTAAGCTTGACAAAACAGAAGCCAGTGATGAAAAAGTAACTTATGGAAGTAGAGTGTCTGTTTTTAGGAAGAATATTATGCAGAAATAGCGGGACGCTTCTGTGCATAAAAAAGATGTGAATATTTCCGTGTGTGTGTGGACAGCCAGCACAAAGGTTATTCTAAAAATATTCAACGTTGAACAGCGGTAGGGTTTTGATCGCTTGTTCTTTGGTATTTATAAAACGTGATATACTCGTAGTCCGACCAGAATGGGTCTCACATCTGGAACACAAGGAGTGAGGAGCTTGGTGCCAGGAAGGTAAAGCCCATGCTTTCTGTCATGGCTCTCCGAAGTTGGTGTGTCTTGTTCCCCTCACCGTACTCAAGCTCCTCTGCAAGTAGCTGGGATGACAATTTGGGCTGTTGCGCACATGAACATGGCTCTTTCCTTAGCATGGCCCGTGCGTTTCCCCTGACTTGGTTTGTTTTGCTGAGTCCAGAGGACGGCCTTACTTGGCTTTCTGTCATTATCTGTTTCACTACACATTTGCTCCTATTTGATCAGTCAGCTTCTGCTGTCAGGTATGCTTAGGGAAACTTTATTTTCCCAAGCTAGCCTGTCATTTCTGTTTATGAAGAAATTTCATGAGCTCACCTCACTTAATCCACCTAACTATTTTCCCTTCCTCTGACTCGGGCCTCCTTCTGTACCCTCGGGTAATATTTTTCAAAATTAAGGTTCACCATTCTTGGCTGCCCCAGTTAGAGGGAGTGGGGAGAAGATGGACAGATACTACTTCTCTTTCAAAACAGCCTAGTCTGTGAAAACTCTCTGTAACAAAAGATGCATCTCCAGCTAAAAGGACCATCTCGCGGCATACCCGCTGAATGGGACAGATATGTGTGCTCCTGTTCTCCTCCTCTGTATGGAGGAAACACCACTATTCTTCCCTATGCCAAACATTATTTTTCTTTTGGAGGCCTCTCAGGAATGAGGTTGCATGGTAGGTCTGTATCCAAATGCTGCCCCTGCTGAATGCTGTGTACGGATATGGTTTTCCAAGGGTGACTTTTGGACTCTGCTTTCACTTCTTGTTTATCCCTTCCCTGCTCTAACGCTGTGTCTTAGTCCTGACCTGGACAGAGGGAGGACAGCCAGTCTCTGGCACATTCATTTTTCAGCCTCTGGTAATATTATTAGTAAGTAAACTAGTTCATATAGTAAAGTTCAGGTCAGGGAATGTAAGCCAGTGACCAAGAGCTATCTGTTCCCCCATTGACCATATTTCTAGTGAAAAGCTACCTCAGCATATATTTTTGTCCTTCCCGTATGTTCTTTATTCATATATTCTGCTGAATTAGAAGTTGCACTGAAACCTGTAAATAACATTGCATGCAAATGTTCTTACATGTAGGAAGTAGAGAAATATTAATTCTCTGCAGGTAAACACCACTGTTTCTTCTAAACCTTCTTAATCAACCAACAGTTTTTCTTGTATCTGTTAATCATGTGGTGAATACAAAAGATGCAGGCTTCAGGAAGCCTCTAAATACAGGAGAAGGATTATAACCCTTCCGATCCCCACAGATGCATTGCAGTCATGTCAGAAACCAAGGATGGGCTGTGGGGTGCCTTAGAATTTGAAATCCTTCATAATCCTGGTACTTCAGTTTAAACTTGTTTCCACTAATTCACTCTTCTTTTTTTCTTTTTTTTATTTGGTGAGAATACGGTTTGGTTTTTTTTATATTAATTTTATAAATACTGAAGAATTTTACTACAAGGGTCAAGAAAATTGGCTGTTCTTATCATGTGGTCCCTCTGTTGGTATAGGCTTCTTTAAAAAAACGTTACTTATTTCTGAGTGTTTCTTACATATAAGATGTATCTCGGCTGTGCGCAACAGAGCACAACGTAGTTATCTCCTGGTCATGCTGCTGTCACAGACATACCCACTGCCACCGACGCGCTGACTGACGCTATTATCACAGATGCACTCACCTCACTATCAGTCTAGGTATCCCCGGTCCATCTGGCCAGCCAGATGGTGCCAGAGCATCCCCAGCAGATCCGGCTCTGCACAGAAACAGCCTCAGGAGGAACCAAAAAAAATATGTTCATCTTTGAGGTATTAGTGAGCGTGACAGTAGCCTGCCTGACAGGATTCAGCCCACCCCACCTCTGTCGCTGCAGCCTGCCCTCACCATCCCACCAAGGGCCAGCCTGGAAGGGCCTGCCCTCACCCTCTTTTGCTGAAGCTGCTTTGTGTTGTGTGGAATAATAAAGCCACAGAGGGGAGCCGGAGAGAGGGATGACTGTCTCACCCCGCGGTTGGGTTTGCTACGTAGCAGTGAGGAAACCTGGTTTTGAATCCTGCGCTGCTTAATGCTTTGATGTTTTATACAGTATTTCTGTCTGGCACACCCTGGACAGAAACAGCTGGCAATGTAGTGAGCAGCAGTGAGCCCCACACTGCATGCTTGTGATGTTTTAGTCTGTTATCCCTAATTCATTTGTGCACAGTTTGCCCGACAGCACCAGGCCTGTGGCATATGTGCATCCTGAAAGGGCATGGTGTGGCCGGGGAAGTCCAAAATTTTCTAGAAATGCCAGGCTTAGCGTGCATGCATTGAGGAGGACATGACCCATGGAAATGTCTGGGATTTCTTGCACTCCAACAGACTTTTCCGAATTGTGGTGGTGTAGCTGATCAAGTTGCCAGCTG